AGTTAATTTATATGCTTTTCTAATTGGGATCATCACATAACGACTGTCTACTCAGCTATAGAAATGTTCAGGGAGCACCTGTACTGAGAACGCGTTCCCTGCTTGCTTTATCTGTGCGACCATAATCAGATTCCTAGCTCTTTTCTGCCCCGGCTGTCCAAGACTGGGTCTTGAATCTGATTAGCTTATCAAGAGCTAGATTTGGGGGGTGCTGGAGCGCTCAGTGAATATTGTCATTGGTTCCATACATTCGTTCATCCATCCTGCTTAGTTCTCGCGTGGACTTCAGGGTACCTTTATTCTTCAATCCCCAGGTGAGTCGCTCAGCCTGTTTAATGACAACCCAACTCATATGTAAATTGTTACGGTCTCGAGAAGCAGCAGCCGCGGTAGATGTCAGGACCTGGCCCCCCATACTGGACACAGGTGAGGATTTGACATCAGGATACATAGGTATGTGTGCGTGTTCATTATTATTTTGCTTAGAGCATGTATATTCATAGCTTTGTTTTACTCTCCAGATGATTTGCCAAAGAAGCGGCCTGCCCAGATCTACAAGCCTTCCAACCCAGATACACTGGCTTATCTTGACTTCAGTGTCTCCACAACTGGGATGCTAGCCGGAGTGAAGGTGAGCAAGGCCAGTGAGCGTAATCTGTAGATTAGCGATGCAGCATGGACAAGCCAGGTGGTGGTGCCAGTGTGTATTTTCATGTACAGTACAGTTCAGGTAGGTACTATCACTGACGCCTGAAGAGAGGTGCAGGTAGTTATATGCACGTCAGCTGGAACAATATGGGGCTGTTTCATTTTCGCTCTCGGAATTGGCCATCTAGTTAATTGGGGGCTGAATCTGTCCAAGCATTCCAACTTTTCCCTTGTAAACCAAGCCTCACTGGCCCATGATAGATTATTCTCTGCGTGTTTCTGTCTCACTGGTTCCCAAGTCCCAATTCTGCCATTTGCGGAAGTTTTTGTACTGATATTTCCTGCTTTTTAAATTTGGCGTTCCATTATCACCTGCCCGATGGCTGCCCATTGCAACTGCACTCATCTTTCCTTCCTGTCAAAGCCTGGAGCTGCTATCTAGACCACCCAGAATGCGGACCCTTCTAGCTTAGGGCACATCCTCACACAGGAACCACACAGATCTACTGCATTGTTCTGTAGGCACCAAAAGCCCCCTTTCCTAGTATCTCTGAGTGTGGGGCCTTATGGAATGAGTTTACGTGGTTTTCTTTTTTGGTACTCATATACTGTTTACCTTTAGTTGAAATAATAAGTACACACTCAAATGAGATAATTTCCCAGAGGTTTTTAAAAAGAAACAAAAATAAATTTTCAGATCAATGAATTGATTCCAACTTAGGGCACGACCTCGTATGAAGAGTAGACCTTCTCGATAAAGTTTTCAAGTATGTGACCTTTCAGGGGTGGGGTTACCCCTGGGTTTTTTTCAAACCTCCAACTTTTTTCAAACCTTCACATTTCAGACAGCAGTCAAACGTTTAACGATTTGTGCCACCTGAAAACACTCTAATCCAAACTCACTGCTGTCTGACTCTTAGTGACCCTGTAGGACAGAGTAGAACTGCCCCTGTGGATTTCTAAGACTACAACTCTTTTGGGGAGCAGAAAGCCTCATCTTTCTCCCAAGGAGTGACTGGTGGCTTTGAACTGCTAATGTGGTTGGCAGCCCCATGTGTAATCCACTGTGCCACCAGATCTCCTTTTGGGCCACCCAGGGACTCCTTCATCTTTAAGTACAGACCCTAGAAAAGTCAGAGAGATGAAAACTAGACTCTCAAAGTTTTAAAAGATTATCCCAAACTTTGGAGCAGTTGACTTTTTGATAAGTACCTGAAAGAAAATTCACTGCAATATCGAGCAATGAAAAATCCATATGCCTTATATACTAAGAGATCTAAGATAGAGTTGAAATAGTTTAGCTTATAATCTCCCGATGAAAATCCCCCTCACCTCTGTAAACCCATGGGTTATAGGAGTAACTATTTTACTAAAAAAAAATATAAAAAGCACCCCTGTAGCTCAGATTTTAGCCACGCAGTAGACCCCTAGAGGAGCAACAGGCAATAGTGTGGTGTGCGTACCTTGGGGTCATCAGCCATTTAAGATCACGAAAGTGGTGTTTGGTGGAGAACCAAGCTCAGACGGGAAGAAGGAAGTGGAAACAGGAAGCACTGGAGGAAGTGGGTAAATGACGGGCATTCCTAGGATGGCAACAACGGAGCTGAAACAAAACACGTCCACATTGTTGAATATAAAACGGATGGTCTCTTTAACGTTCACCCTATTCACAGTGAAAAGGTGCTTTTTAAATTAAAAGTTAAAAATTGTCATTTAATTTTCACTTTTGAACAAAAGTATCATTGAGAACTCGGTTACTACCATAAAAGTTAGAAGAAACATCTCCAGTAAACCATTTTAAAATAGATACTAAAGAATGTCTGATTTTGAGTAATACCCATGAGATATGTGTTCTCATGCTTAATTTAAATTTTAAAATGCTCTTTGCTTAAATTTGTGGATTTGAACTCAAGGGGTCCTAATAGATCATAGATAAACTCAGAATCAACAAGGAAGTTATTGAGAAATTAGTTATTGAGATGACTCATAATCTAGTAGATTACTTCCCTTATGGATTTTCCCAGAGGATATTTTAAAACCCATGTTAGCTTTCCCTTGCTTGCTACCACCGAGTTTTCTTCTGGGACACCTTTCCAGTTCACCCTCGCTTGGTGTTTACCAAGGAATGGACATTTAAACCAAAGTAAACCGCAAAATCTTCCCAAGATAAGTCACATTACCTTCAAGAAATAAATACATTTTACCTCATCCTCAATTCCCCTACATTGCTTTGTCTCCTCTCAATGTCTCCTGTAGAGTAGACCATCAGTTTGTTGTTTTGAACAGCTGGTTCCTTTTCCAAGTGTGCTATGGCCTTATAAAAATTGGAAATTTATCATAGTAAGAGTCTCTAGAAAAATATCTTGAGTTTTTCGGTCTGTAATGTTGGCAGTATCCAAGATTAAATAAATTTTAAAATTGAACATGTAACTTTCTTAGTTACACATTGCCTAACCTGTTACATTCGTGCTATGTGTTGAAATTCGTTAACTCTTATTCCACTTTCAGGACCCACGAACACTTGTGTAATCCTATAGGTTGATTTAAGCCTCATTTCTTTCTGCTTTCTTTAGACTCACTGCCCACACAGTACTTACAGTTGCTGCCGTTATCTGCCATATTCCCACTAGATTGCAAGCTCCTGGAGGCAGAGCCCAGGCTTTATTCCTTTTAACGCCCCTCTCTAACAGGAAGTACAGAGCACTTGTGTAATATGTTTGTAGTTGCCGAGCTGAGTTGAAGAACTTTTCTCAAGGTGGAAAGGAGGATAAGGTTCAGTAAAGACTTCTTGGAGTTGTTGCACTCAGTATGTAGGAAGCTTTGGTAGAATGTTATTGACGTCTGCCCCTGGCAGGCATGAGGTTATAGGAATATTCCATCAGTCCAGCCTCTCTTCTGCTTTAATACTGTGGCTTTGAAAGCAGTTGAACAAGAGCTTCTTAAGTTTAACACACTAGAATAAGTCTATATTTTCTAAGTATGAATTGAGTAGATTCCATGATGAAAGCTTTGGGGCGGGCAGAACTTCTAACAATGATCCAGTGCTGTCATGTTTTCACAATGGAGGCTTCCCACGCCCTCCTTCACATCTGGCTTCTCTCGGTGGAGTCAACAATAAACCCTTTCCCAGGCATTTCGTTGGCTGTCCCTGATCATCACCGTGCTCTGGGCTCCCATTCACACGCAATGCTGTATGAAATGCTACTTCAAAATAACTTGCCGACATGTTTTTAAACCACTGGTGAAACTTCGTAACGTTTACTTTCTTTTTTTCTGGGTAGGTAAAATTAACTAGAAAGTGTCTGCAAGAAATTGTCTTAGCGTCGGACAGGGCAAGATATGACAAAATACTTATTTATAAACTATCAAGGGCTGATGAGGGAGGGGGGAGCGGGGAGGGAGGGGAAAAATGAGGACCTAATGTCGGGGGTTTAAGTGGAGAGAAAATGTTTTGAGAAACGATGTACAAATGCGCTTTCCACAATTGATGTGTGTATGGATTGGGATAACAGTTGTATGAGCCCCTAATAAAATGTTAAAAAAGAGAAGAAAAATAATAATTAAAAAAAAAAAAAAGAAATTGTCTTAGATCAATGTCACAGTATTTTAAAATAACTCACATGACCTACTGATTAGAGTAGGCTTGTTGCTAGGACTGGGGATGGGGAAAGACAAGGGGACATAGATCTAAGACCATTTCTTGCAGATGCTTTCTAGTTAATTTTACCTACCTAGAAAAAAGATAGAAGGCTGACATTAGATTTGGGTCACTTTCGAAGTACTCAGTGTTAGAAGGTCTGTGTTCTAATTCCAGCTCTAACTTAGATGACTTATGCAAATTCTTTAACTGTTCTGAGCATCCCTTTTCTAATCATTAAAGTGGGGCGTTATTCATTTACTGTGTTTTATGACCTCTTAATATGTTAACAGGTACTATGTTAAGCCCAGGAAATGTAAAATGCATTTAAGACATGGTCTCTGTCTAGAAGAGGTAATCATGGATGGTAATAAGAGGGGACTTCAAAGGGTCATGAGAAATTTTCATTGTCTCTTAATTCCATTTTCCCATGAACTTTTGCATGTTCCCTTATATCTTTCCTACCAACTTTACAGAGATTGTTGTAGGGATTTCACTTGAATCATGTCCTGGTCTACCCTCCTACTCAAATGCAAGATAACAATAATTGCATTCCCCTTCCTGGAGAACCATTGAGTGTGGTAACCCCACTGAAAGCTGGAAAATGAACAAGAACCTCAGCAGCCCCATTTCTCACAGCACAACCTGAGCCAAACCTGGATACAACAGACTGAGGTCCTAAAAAAGTCTTTGAGTGCATTGATTTTATACACTCTGGCATTTTAACAACAGCGTTGTTGTTTTACAGATGTCTCATGCAGCCACCAGTGCCTTTTGCCGTTCTATTAAGTTGCAGTGTGAGCTTTATCCCTCTAGAGAAGTGGCTATCTGTTTGGACCCTTACTGTGGACTTGGATTTGTCCTCTGGTGCCTCTGCAGGTGAGCATTCCCTGTAATGCCTTCATCTTTAAGTGGAAAGGAAAAACACACACATTCTCCATTCTAGACCATTTGTAGAGAATATGCCCACGTCTTGGACCAAGCCAAACAGCACCAAGCACATGAGGTGCCATCCATGAGGTCCTCACTCTGGGGAGCAGGTGCCCTTATTCTCCTTACTGGCCCTGCTCGTCAGCATAGAGCAGCTGGCCACTTTCTGGGACACTATTTCAGTTTCAACAAAGCCTTAAAAAATTCCTCTCAATGAAAGTCAAATCTACAGGAAATTGCTTCCGGGGATGTTTTGAACATCTAGGGTGCCCTGGTGGCCATAGCGGTTACACATTGAGCTGCTAACATCGAGGTCAGCAGTTCAAAACCACCTGGAGATCCACAGGAGGAAAAGGAAGCTTTCAAATCCTATAGAGTTATAGTCTTGGAAACCCACTGGGGCAATTCTGCCCTGCACTGCGGATCACCGTAAGTCAAAATTGACTCAATGGAAGTTAGTTTTTTAACTATCAGTAACTCATGTTTTATAATCAGAGCCCTGGGGACTCTTTCGTATGCCATTAATATCCTAGACTTTTCGTAGAATTAGCAGTCTCTGCAGGCACTGTGCTCATTTAGGTTTCTCCCGGACTGTTAGGTGGAGAAGGGTGTTCAGTTGAAGGAAGTCTAGGAATAAGCTCAAGAAGAGCTAAGGTTGTCTCACTGTCTACTACTCTGTTCCTAGCAGCCAGCTTGATGCCTCAAAAGAATTAAACTTAAGACCTTCAAGTTGATCCCGACTCATAGTGACCCTGTTTAACAGACTAGGTCTGCCCCTGGGGTTTCCAAGATGGTAACTCTTTCTAGGGGTAGAAAGCCTCATCTTTCTCCCATGGAGCAGCAGGTGAATTCAAACTGCTGACCTCACCACTAGAAACCCAACTTGTAAACAAGTGTTCAGGGAATATATATGGCCTTAATAAATATATTTTTTAAATGGAAGTTTCTTGCCATATTTTTGGATTATGTATATGGAATACATTCATGGTAGAAATTTTAAAAGCTTCAAAATTGTATAAAGAAGAAAATGCTGCCAATGATCATGTGACCTGGTGGTCCCAGATTAATACTCACATTTTGGTATATAGCCGTAGAGTGTGTTCTCTAATGTAGCATAAATTTTAAAAATTTTATTAATATTTTCAAACATATATCAGTATATAAGGAATAGAGATTCCTGGTTGTTCAGTGATTTAATGAATTGGCTGCTAACCAGAAAGTCAGCATTCCAACCTCACCCACTGCTCTGGGAGAAAAAGTTGTGGCAGTCAGCTTCCATGAAAATTAAAGTCATGGAAAGTCTTTGGGGCTGTTCTACTCTGCCTTGATAGGGTCACTATGAGTCAGAATCCACTCAACAGCAATAGATAGTAGAGAAAGGAATACTGTATATATTCAAGTATAAGCCAAGTTTTCCAGCACATTTTTAATGCAGTTTTTGTGGTAAAATTAGGTGCCTCCGCTGATAATCAGGTCGGCTTATACTCGAGTATATACAGTAATCAATACCCACACCCATCATTCAGCTTCAGCAAGTAACCGTGGTTTTTTTTCCCCTCTGCCCTAAAGTTTTGGGAGTTATTGGGATATTATATTAGTGACTCACCCAGAAATGATTCAAGTAATGGGGGGCAGTAAGTTTTACTATACTTGTAACTAACTTCTTTTTTTAATTTGAGATTGTTTCAAAAATTAACAGAAATATTTCTTTTGGATATCTTTATTCTAAAGTACTTTATCAATAAATATTGTCTGGGAATCAGTAATACAATGGAATTTTGTCTTAAAAATTTCTTTTAAGCATCAGTCTGTCTTAAAACAAGAATATCACATGGCACTGTTTGTTTGCTTGTTTGTTTGTTTGTTAAACAATGGTGGGTGCCATTAAGTAGCTTTAATAACTGCCTTCATTTGCCATGAGACTAGAAGCACTAGATGGTGTCCAGCTACCATTACTGAGCATGTTAATCAAATATTCTACATAAGAATCCAAAGGAGGATAATACAGAACAGAATTCCGAATTTTTGCGATTTCCAGACTTTCTGGAGCCAGGGAGACTAGTATGACCCCCAGAAACTATTGGCCTGAGATCATCTTTAAAACCTTAAATCAAAATATCCCCTGAAGCCTTCTTAAAACCAAACAGCAATTGAGCTTAACTAGCTCAAGAATGCTTTGAGCCCTAAATCCATTCGAGATCTGTGTATGGGAGATCAAGATGACAATCACAACTCAAAGGAGAACTTGAAGGGAAACTTAGGGGACAACGAGTCTGTCTTCACAGGGAAGCACCACTCCGAAAAGGTGGGAGACCGTGGTTGCACAACTCCTCACGGTCACTGACTTATCAGTGGTGAAACTGCTGAAATGGTGTATGTTTTGGTGTGTGTATTCTCAGCCACAAAATAAAATTTTAAAAGGAAGTGACCAGACAAGCTAAGACCAAAGAAAATATGTGCAACCATATACAGGCTTACCTTATAACCAATATCTAAAAAGTAAAGTACAATAAAATTATATGTGCCCATATCTGATATACAGGAAGAATTCTTAAAACATAATAATAGGAAGACAAGGAGCACAATTACAAAATGGCAAACTTAGACCTTTCACTAAAGAAGCTCTTTAAATAGCCAGTGGGTGCCTGAGAAAGCTCCACATGCGTTAGTGATAGGCGGACGAAAGCCACAATGAGATACACCTTTACCTGCTCTAAAATGGCTGTAACCCAAAAGACTGATAATAACAAATGTTGATCAGGCTTTGGAAAGGCTGGGATTCTCATAATTGTGGATGAAATATAAAATGGCATGGGATCTTTTGGTCTGGTCTTACATATTATATATAAACGTATCAGATCACCCAGGAATTCCACTCCTCGGCACACACCAAAGAAAACATATGTGTGTAAAAGGGTTTGATGTAAATGTTTGTAACCGCCTTACACAAACAAGCGGTCCCGATGGCTAACAACTGCTGAATGCATAAACAAATGGTGTCATATCTATACAATGGAATCCTGCTACAGCACGGATGAACTTCAAAAGCATTATGCTAAATTAAAGGAGCCGAACTGAAAACATATTAAATGACCCTCTTATATGGTGCCATTTATGTCTGTCCAGGGAAAAAATAGCCCTGTAGTGATAGAAATCGATTAATGACTAGGGTTGAAAATAGGGTTTGAATAGTGGACACAAAGAATCTCCTTGGGGTGAAGGAAATGTTCTAGAACTGAGTTGTGATGATAGTTGTACAACTCAGCAAATTTACTAATCATTTAGTTTTATGGAAAAAAGGGGTGAATTTTATGGTATACAAATTATACCTCACTAATAAGCTCATGTAGTTTGTATGTAATTCTATACCTTGCTTTATTTAGTATTAAAATTGGGAAATTTTTTAGACATATACCTTTGAAATAATTGCTGATGTGATCTATCTTTAAAGCCCAGGTTTGAATGGTTCTAGTAATAAATCATTTTTACTAGTCTAAAATTTAAAATATCTTCCTTTAAAATTTGTTTCCTATGTGAAATAACAAGTAAAGATTTTTCATTCTAATAAGGAGGAAGTTTTCTAGGAACCAGTCGGTTGATGAGACAGAGGCATGTTTTAAGAGGTTATAAGAGGGTTAGGAAGTAGGGAGAGACACCTGTGAAATCTAAAAAGACAGTGAAGTGGGGTTGAACAGAGAACACACCTCAGTGCATATCTGACCTAGTCTCCAACCCAAGTGGAAACTTCAGAGTGAAGCATTCCAACTGCAGGATTCTAGTTCTGACCAGAAAGGACCAGGCACTCGCACCTCTTTGTGTGCTCTGTCCTGAGCTGGGGGCAGCCAGAAAGGGCCTAGGCTTCAGCTCAAATACTGAGGCAGAGCCTGAAGGCATGGACAACAGGTGGAGGCCTGCGCTGACTGCACTTCAAGTTGCAAGTTCATTGGTTCTTTCCTATGTTTCTTTGACCATTTGTTGTGAACAGGCTGAAAGGTTCTAGGCAAATCAGTTTTCTTCCAATAGTTCAGACACATTCTGTTTCATGCGGATGTTTGCAATCACCACGATGTAGCCACTCACCCCACTCCTTTCTCTTCCCATTCCTCCGCCTTTCCCTTCTGAACTTTGTCCTTTGGCAAATGCTGACTATTGATCACAAATGGTCACATATTCTAAGGAGTACTTTCCTCTCTAGTGTTATTGTTCACCTTATATAACTGCCTATTGTTTGGCTGAAAATTGAGCCATAAAATCTGTGAGTGTGTGTGTAATCACACATGTATATGTACAGCCATCATGATGAATTTAACACCTTTATGGTGGCACTGTGAGTTAAATATTGAGTTATTAACTACGGGGTTGGTAGTTCAAAATCACGAGCCATTCCATGAGGAAAAGATGAGGATGTCTGCTTCCATAACGATTTACAGTCTTGGAAAACTAATATTGCCCCCTTCAGTATGGATTTCAGCTCAACATAAAGAAAACCGAAATCCTCACAAGTGGACCAACCGATAGGTAACATACGGTAATTGAAGAAAAGATTGAAGTTGCCAAATATTTCTTCTGGTTTGGATCAACAATCAGTGCTCATGGAAGCAGCACTCGAGAGATCAAACAATGGATTGCATTGGGTCACTCTGCTCCACAAGAAAAGCAAGGGAGTTACTTTGAGGACTTAGGTGTGCCTGATCCAAGCCGTGGTATGCCAGTGGCCTCATATGTATATGAAAATTGGACATTGAATAAGGACCAAAGAAGAATTGATGCATCTGAACTATACTGGTGGTGACGACTATTGAAAGGACTGTGGACTGCCAAAAGAACTAACAAATCTGTCTTGGAAAAAGTGCACCCAGAAAACTCCTTAGAGGCAAGATAGCCAGACTTCATCTCGTGTGCTTTGGCTATGTCAGGAGAGACCGGTCCCTGGAGTTCTTGGTAAAGCAGAGGGGCAGTAAAAAGAGAAGGCCCTAGACAAGATGGATTGACACAGTGACTGCAACAGTGGGCTCAAACATAAGAATAATTGTGAGGATGGTGCAGGACCAGGCAGTTTTTTGTTCCATTGTACATAGTTGTCCGTGAGTTGGAATTGGTTCAATGGCACCTAGCAATATCATGAGTCGGAATGAAAGAGATGCCAGTAGGTTTTGGAGGGAGGACTTTTCCATTTCTTTGCAAGAGACAGACATCAGGATTCCTCAGTCAGGAATGCAATGAAAGCCAGCTGTTCAATAGTAGCTTGAATATATGCATGTGCATGTGTGTGCACCCCCCACCCGTTAGGCACCTGATCTCCCAGTTCTCCAATGATTAAAAAAGCCGCAAAATAGGTCATTGCCTACTATATTTACCTTTACCAAAAATCTAATTTGGCATAGAGAAACAAAGAAGTGGAAATTAATGAAAAGGCCCTTGATAAATATGACAATATTACCTGAAGAATCGGTTTTCATTCTGAGATCCTGGTTAAAGTAGAGCCAATATAATTATTTTATCCAGTTGACTTATTTACTCAATTTTGAATTTTTAGGATGAGATTGAATGGGTGCTAGTCTCAAATAACAATTGGTGCGGCCTGCTGTGCCATTTTTTTCCCTAACTATGAAATCTCCTTTACCTAGATCTTGTCAAGTGATTGACGTAGAATATTTCTCTGTAATGGATGGCATCTGTTTGTATCGATGCGTAGTAGTAAACTAGCCATTGCAATTAGAATCCTGGTAGATCCTTCATTACTTTAAATTGATACTTGCCTCGGCAGTTGGTGATGAGGAATGAAAATGTGTAATCATCCTGTTTTCTCATTTCTATAAATATTCTTTCTAATGAAAAGAAAGATAAAGTGAAAGGATGATTTGATTTTTTCCTTAGTTCTATTTGGTGATTTCTTTAGATCGTTTTAGAAGGATTCCAAACTTAAAAAAAAAAAAAGAGCAAGTAACTTCCTTTCATTGGATTTTTCTTTCTGGATGTCAGTTCTGTAAAGGTAGACACACTTTTTAAATGGTCACTTTTGGTCTTTTGAGCCATCCACTCTCTGCCACAGCTGTTCAACTCTACCACTGTAATAGGAAAACGGCCTTTGCTGAAAGAAGGAGAAAGCCTTTGCAATAGGAAAGCAGCCAGTAGAGAATGTAAACCGTGTTGCGTTCGGGTAGATTCTGACTCATAGAAACCCCTATGAGGGCAGAGGGGAGCTGCCCGAGAGAGTTTCCAAGGTTGTGGTCTCGTGGAAGCAGTCTGCACATCTTTTTCCCTCGCTCAGAGTGCCTCTCACCGCAATTGAGTCAATGCTGTAAGGCAGGGTAGAACTGCCTCTGCCTTCCCTTGACCAGAACTTTACCTTACATGAGTAGGAAGCTGATCTTTCTCCCACAGAGCAGCTGGTGGTTTCAAACCGCCACCCTGTCAGCAGCCGAGTGCTTCTTTAGCTTCTTCCCCCACCCCACGCGACCCCGCTCTCGCCGTCCCCCGGCTCCCTCTTTAGCTTCTTTTAATTGAGAATATTTCCCAAGTGCTAACCACTGTGCTGTCAGCACACCTTTAACACTAAGCGGATACAGTCTTCCGATAAAATGTATTTACAAAAAGGCAGCATCCGAAGTTTGCCTACTTTTGTTCTAAAATTCTAGACAATTCTACCAAAATGCAATTCTGTGTTTCCTACTTTGAAAGAGAATCCAGTTTGTTCCTATAGCAGCCTTAACTATGTCACAACTCATAGCTGCTTGAAACGGTCATTCTATTATGTGATTACCAGTGTGTCTTTTAACTTTTCTGAATGTTTAATATAATTACATTGCACACTAATAAATTCTAATGGAGTTAGTTTTACTATCCCCCATTTTACAAGTGAAAAACGGGTGTCTTGCTCCACACTTTCCCATTTATTTCTCTCTTTTTTGCCTACAACTCTTATCACAATCCATACATACATCCATTGTGTCAAGCACATTTGTACATTTGTTGCCCTCATCATTCTCAAAACATTTGCTTTCTACTTGATCCCTTGGTATCAGCTCCTCATTTTTTCTCCTCCCTCCCCTCCCTCATGAGCCCTTGATAATTTATAAATAATTATTATTTTGTGATGTCTTACACTGTCCGACAGCTCCCTTCACCCACTTTTCTGTTGTCCGTCCCCCAGGGAGGGGGTTATATGTAGATCCTTGTAATCAGTTCCCCCTTTCTACCCCATCTTCCTTCCACCCTCCCAGTATCACCACTCTCACCACTGGTCCAAAAGGGAATCATCTGTCCTGGATTCCCTGTGTTTCTAGTTCCTATCTGTACCAGTGTACATCCTCTGGTCTAGCCAGATTTGTAAGGTAGAATTGGGATCGTGATAGTGGGGGGTGGGGGGAGCATTTAGGAACTAGAGGAAAGTTGTATGTTGCATCGTTGCTACCCTGCACCCTGACTGCTTTCCCATTTCTTAATGATAAAGTCTGCCCTGTTCTCCCAGTATTTTGTTCTTCTACTTGAGGCTGAGCTGCCCCCCAAGTGTGCTCTCCCCTCCCCACCTCTGACAGCGGCCTTCTGTCTCCACAGTGTTTACTCAGGACACCAGTCCATTCTGATCCCGCCTTCAGAGTTAGAAACCAACCCTGCTTTGTGGCTTCTTGCCGTGAGTCAGTATAAAGTCCGGGATACATTTTGTTCCTATTCTGTGATGGAGCTATGTACCAAGGGGCTGGGCTCACAGACGGAATCACTCAAGGTAAGGAGTTCTTTTCCTCAGCGTCCTGGAGGGTCTGAAGGAACAGGTGCTAGCTCTAATCTTACAGTAGTGACGGTCAGTGCCCAGGGCACCAAGGCTCTCTGACAACACATTATTGGAGGGCCCTCGCAAAACGACTTGGTGACGTTAAAGTAATGCTTCCAAAGTCAAAGTGAAGCCTGCCAGACTGTTTTCATATCCCAAAGTTGTCCTGTGACCCGAGTGCCTTCCCACTGCCAAAACAGTGAAATGCCGGAGCAGAAATGATTTTATTGATCTCTGATTGTATGAAATCTATCTGAAACATCCTGGTTGCTTTTCTATTTGCTTGGTATAAATTAAGCTCTTTAATGAAGATAACTGAATATTCGAACTTGGGGTTTAACTACATCTGTTTCAATTTAGCCACTTTATTTTCCCTTGAAGATTCTCATTTTCAGCCCTGAACTCTTAGCTAATATTCATTGTAAAATATGAGTTTTGTTTGTATTAGCTTGTTTTAAATAAGTACTCTGATATCAAAATAACAGTATCTTTCTCCATTTAAATTATAACATTCTGAGATACATTTCCTTGGTAAATGTGTAGTTCTTAATTACAAATTATCATACGATCTGTGGTGATTATATTCCAACATCCTATTCAGGATGCCTTTGTGTATAAACAGATTATATTGTGTATAGACATATGTTAGTCCAGGTTGTCTAGAGAAACAAATCCAGAGATACTCATATGTGTGTAAGAGAGAACTTTATATCAAAGAGTAATTGTATATTGAGAAAGCATCCTAGCCCAGTCCAGATCAAGTCCTTAAGTCCGATATTAGCCCATATGTCCAATAGCGGTCTATAAATTCTTCTTCAGACTCACGCAACACATGCAATGACGCTGAATGCAGATAGATCACAGGTCAGTGAGTGGGGAAGTCTTGTGGATCCAGTGGTAGTGGAAACATCGCAGTGCTGGCAGGGGTCTCCCTGTGGCTCCTCCAGCTCCAGGGCTCTGGCTTTATCAGTGTAGCTCCATGTGGCTTGTCAACAGGAATGTCTCACAGGGAGAGAAGCAGAGAGAGTCTCCCACCTCCAGGGATGAAGACAGGAGTTCCCAGAATACTTAGGAGAAGGCCATGCCCACACAGAGGCTTCATTTGCTGTGACCTCATTGACGGGCTGTACTCCACCCCTTCGCAAGTTGACAGGAGATGATGTAACTGCCACAATACACACACTTAGCTGCATGCATACAAATAGTGAAGTGATACATTTGTCTCTCAAGCATTTTGTTTTCCTAATCAAAATTAGCACATACATTATGCTTGGCCCAGGAAAATAAAATGCAAGAAGACTTTGATATTAAGCTCAACAAATAAATGCTCAGTTCCTTAATGCTATATATTTATACAGAAAACAAAATCTATAAATAACTGTCATTCATGCCCACCTATATTATATTATGCAATATTTGGGTACTATGTCTATAAACTTTTCCTCTATGTGCATATATAATAACCAGAAGGTAATAACATAATAAAGTGGTTATTAAGCACTTTTAGTATTACTTCAATCTTTAAGGCTACTCTTGGAAATAAGAACCATTATTGTTTCCATTTTAAAGATGAAGAAGCTAAGTTACAGAAAGCCTTTGCAATTTGTTCAAGTTCTCCCATTTTACAAATTTTGGAGCCCAGTATTAAATCTCTGGCTATCTCAAACTCCGTGCATTATTGCCTCTTGAAACAGAGACATATGACTATATCGTTTATATCACCCAGAATTGAGGTTATTCCTGTGTGACTGAAGTTATATGAAATTATATTTATATACAAAACACTCATGTCAAAGTTATCTTGGAATACGTTTCCTCCTCCATTAGAAAATCTTGTGAGTTAGCTGTGTGCTGGCACCCCTCGAAGGATGCATGGTCAGCTGTGTGGTGGTTTCTTCCTCTCGTGCCTCTCCCGCCCATTCCAGAAGGCATCCTCGTTCCCCGCTGCCCTTTAGGTTTAGATGATGTGGTGGTTTCTTCCTCTCGTGCCTCTCCCGCCCATTCCAGAAGGCATCCTCGTTCCCCGCTTCCCTTTAGCTTTAGATGAGGTGCTTGTCACTCACTTGGTCTTCTCTCAGCAAGGCCCCAGAAACCCAAGAGTGTGTGCTTGACCCATTTCAGTACCTCCTTCTCGCTCTCTCACTCTCTTTGTTTTCCTGTTGGGCTCAGCTGAACTTCGTAATTTAGTCCAGAAATTGAGACAAACTCAATCATGAAAATATGCTGCCCTGTAAGGCTCCTACATCATAAACTAGAGAGCTATCTTTGTGAAATTTTCCAAAAGTTATATTTTTCTACTGTAATTATATCTTTTCAAAAATAAGTTTTCTTTCACTTCTCTCCAATGTATGTTCTTGTGTACACATGTTTCTAATCATAGGAAATGCTGGTGTTCCTTTTCTCAAATTCTGACTTTGCATTATTTTCTTCAGGAAATTGATTTTCCTCATCCCAATTCTCGCTGTTGCTTCTTGCTACTGTTTTAAATAAGTATTTAATGATGTGTTTGATAATATTGGGGTAATATTTATTTTCTACATGGCTATTTTACTGAATGACATTAAAGGCACAGGGAACCCTGGAAATGAACAACTGTGTTGAGTTTTTTGTTATTTATATGAGATTTTAAGTTAAGGAGTGCCCAAGTTACCTGGAACTAAGCGTGGCTGAAGGCTGACCTACTATGTTTCTAATTATGTCTAGGCACGAGGGCTGGACTTGTCTCGTGTGAGGACGTGTGTAGTCGTGGCAGAAGAACGACCTCGGATAGCACTCACACAATCTTTTTCCAAATTGTTTAAAGACCTTGGCCTTCATCCACGGGCTGTGAGCACCTCCTTTGGCTGTCGAGTGAACCTGGCAATTTGCTTACAGGTGAGTTTCATTGATATCAATAGGTGCTTGAGTAAACTGATGGGGCAAGTAACTTTTAAGTGACAGGGACATAGCATAGACTTGCATTTCCTAAATAGGTTTTCTTTTGTTGGTGCTTAGTTACATGTAAGAGAACATATTTTAATCAAATGCATGTGATTGCTAAACACTTGTTTCATTATTTTTTTTCATTATAATCTCCATTTGTCAGTAGTCCTTGTTCATAGCTTGCATTCACAACACTTACTCTGCCCTGGGGCATTTTAAATTTCATGACAGGGGTGACAGTTTGTCCAGACCCCTGCTATCAGACTTTCTGAAGAGTAGAGACGAGATAGGTGCTTCAATATGTCAAGAATTCTTTCCTTAGAACTACTGAAGTCGGTAGTTCCTGCCTGAAAATAGTTTCTTTATGAAAAATTGCATTGCTTTAAGCAGGTTGGGAAGTTTGCTGCTGTAATGGCAACATAGAAATAATTATAACTGCATCTCTATGACTTAGTTATGCGGCAACTCTTACGAAAGTAGCCTTCCCTTAATCATGGCTTAAAATTGTGTTTTTAAGGTTTTTTTTCCCATTGGTCTCATTTCTTACTTTTCACATCATCTTTCCATGTAACATGAGATACAACAATCCCTAGAGCAGTGGTTCTCAACCCGCCTCATGCCGCGACCCTTTCATACAGTTCCTCATGTTGTGTTGACCACCCCCCAAACATAAAATTATTTTCGCTGCTACTTCATAACGGTCATTTTGCTACTGTTATGAATCGGCAAGCCCTGTGAAAGGGTTGTTCGACGCCCAAAGGAGTTGCGACCCACAGGTTGAGAACCACTGCCCTAGAGAATATCAGAGCAGACCAGGACTGTCTGAGAGGAAAGAAAAGGATCTATCTGTCCCAGGCCATAGCTTCCTACCTTGTTCCTCCAGTTCTTTAAAGGAATAAAGTTTTATTGACCGCAGCTACTCTACATGTGCTGAAAGGAGGGCTAGAAACATTGCTGATTAGTATCTGCTCCACGACTCCCACTTCCCCATCCTCATCACATCAGTGTGTGGCCTGCACAGGGGTTTGCTCAGATGAGCATTCTGTTACTGAAGAGGATGACCTCTTTCCGCTTCCGATTCCGATACTTAGGACTTAGCTGTTAACCAATTAAGAGGAAGTAAGACTACCACCCCTTCTTCCCACTTTACCAGTCTGATGAGGCCACTTCAGTCGGATGAAATCACTGTAAAATGATTGATTTAACTGATTCTTGATTTAAGATGATTGAAATTAGTTTCTTTTCTAAGAAATCAGAAGAATTCGTCTTTCTCAAACTGATTTTATTAAATGCGAAAACATTTATTCTATTCACCAGTAGCTGGTCTTCAGAAAGGTTTCTAGCTTTCCATCCCATTTGGTGAGGTGTGGAATGCGAGATCCACGTCTTCCCTTACTTATAGCACTAGGACATTGCATTTCCCTGGATCTAGTAAGTAATCGGGGCACCCAGACCAATTCATGAGCTGGAGGGACGTGACAATCCTAGCTTTTCTTTTCCTCTTTTACCGCTTTCATGAGCAATAATTTGAAATGCGATAGAAGGTATTTTTTGTTGAGGGATAGACAGAAGAACATAGAATAGATAGATAGATTCACACTTCAAAATAATTGGCAAAGAAATTTCTACACTTTATCAGACAAAATATAAATTTTATCACTACAAGGAATACAATTACACATATGAGAAGGCCAACTATATAGTCACTAGGGTTTCAGTTCGTACGCACACAGGTTTCTCCCAAGCGAAACGTGTCTAAACCTGTGTCAGTGATCGGTGATGGCTGCAGAAAACTTCTGTCAGTCAGACACCTGTTTTCTCCATAGGGTATGTTTAACAATAAATTTTAAAAGCCCCATCAAAATCGTGGCTTCCAAAGGAATTTGCTGAAGGGGATTTTGCTGGGTCAGTTGAATTCCAGGCTGAGAGATTAGAAGATTATAATGACTGTTCTTGGGAAGTCTAAAGGATCTTGATAGATTTTCTCCAAGGACACAGGGCAATCTTGGAGGCTTATTACAAAAGTCTTAAGAAAATAATGAGTTAAAAAAGAAAGAAATACATTAAGTAGAAGATAAAATACCCCAAGAATAAGAGAAAAAGTGTTAAGTGTAAGAAAGTGCCCTGAAGGCCAGAATAAAGTTAGCCCTTAGAGCAGTGGTTCTCAACCTGTGGGTCGCAACCCCTTTGGGGGTCCAACGACTTTCTCACAGGGGTTACCTGATTCATAACAGTAGTAAAATTGCAGTGATGACATAGCAAGAAAATGATTTGATGGAACCGTATTAAAGGGTCGCAGCATTAGGAGGTTTGAGAACCACTGCCATAGAGGTTTCCTACTAAGTGCCTGAAGTGTGAGCTCCATAAACCCACTTCCATTCAGTCAATTCTGACTCAGAGTGACCCTATAGGACAGGGTAGAACTGGTAGATTGAGCCCTGTGAGTTCCTGAGACTATAGCTCTTTATGTTTTGTTCACTACTGTATCATCAGCATCTAGAACCAGAATGTATAAATGTTGAGTAAATGGATTTACTTTGAATGGGGTCCCTGAGTATTGCAAATAATTAACGCACTTGATTGCTACCCCAGTGGTTGATGGGTTTGCATCCAACTAAAGGTATCTGAGAAGAAAAGCCTGGTGATCAACTTCTACACAATTGGCGATCGAAAACCCTTTGATGAAAGTCAAAGCGATGTGAAAACACTGGGCTGATGAGTCACGTAAACATGAGTGTACGTGACCCTAAGACCAGAAGAGCTAGTTGGTGCCAGCAACCACCGCCAGTGCTCTAAAGGGGTATTAGAAGGATAGAATGGGAGAGAAATGTGGCGCAAGCCTCAAAATCATAAAGCTAAGGCTTCGAGGTCAGATGGAGACTGGTGGAATCCCTAGTCTTCCCTCAGATCAGGAAGCGGATTTACCCTGTGGCTCAGTTGTCAGCCAAACAACAGCTAGATCTGTACCGGAAACAGTAATGCTAGTGAGGCGCATGCACCTCTAGTCAGACTAACGGACTAATCAGCCGCTTGAGATCAAAAGGGCAGCTTTGATGTGACATGAAAAGGGAAGGGGGAGAAAGGCCCTTGTGGAACATGGCTCTACTCTCATACACCTGAGTCTTCCTGAGGGGGGTTGACTCTGTGGCAGCTGGCTTTTGTTTTTAACGTCCTGTTCTTAGTAGACTCTTAATAGAGTCTATCAAACTGACTACATAATCAAAAATTGGTATTGCCTGTCACTGCCTTTCATTTTGCAGTCTGGGAAGCATCTTTAAACACTTTTGTACATTTTTTTCCCTGTTTGCTTTATCCTCAACATAATTTTAGCCATTTAATCCTTTCATGAATGGTTAGAAGCAGAAACTAGTTGGAAACATCCAGGTGTCTGATGGTAAAAGTAAATTAACTAAAGTGCAAACAAACTTAGGAGTACAGGATTACAACTCCTTTCCAAAGTGCTTGGGGTCCATTGTGTTGTCGAATTAAGATGATCATTATTATTATTTTGTGGGGGGCCTTTTGAAAGGACCCATATTTCATATATTATGTATCATCCACTATAAGCCATGGGCCAGCAGCACATAATCACCCGTTTCCATCTTTCCACGGTTCAGAAGTGTGGTCAGCTACTACTCTAAATGAAGTTAGTCCAGGTCAAATGTTCCCACAAAGGACATCTAGACAAAGGCCTTGTCCTCATTGATTGTTTCATGTAATACAAGGGGGTTTCAAAAGGTTCCTGGAGAAAAGTATCCCTTTATCTTTTAATCCCATTTTCCCACACATTTTCTGAGATTCCCTCATGGATGAGATGGACAGTAAGCATATAAGCAACTTTTGCAACAAGTGTGTAACATGATTGGCAAAAAGAGAGAGGGGGGTGTTAAAAAGTGACTTGGACACAAGAATAACAATGTTAAGTACAGGTAGTCATGGGAGGCTTCCCTACGGAGGTGACATCTCAGTAAAGTAGTGGTCGCCCAGCCAAACTCACTGCCATTAAGTCAATTCCAACTCTTCCGTGAAGGTAGCAAGCACAAAAGCTTTGAGGCAAGAACTAGCTATTGGAAATACTGTTTTTTTTTAAAAATTAACTTGGCAGGGTTTTTTTAAGGTATGATGATATGACCAAATAAGTAGCAGGTGTAGCCGACATCCTGGAGGGCAGACATTCTCTCTTGCTCTTCTTTATTACATTTTGATGAATTTTTATAGATGCTTAGGCAAAGAAGTAATAAGCACTATAACCTAAAATATAGTCTATATATTTTATAAATTGGGTTGCTTTTTCATTACAAAGAAGTATTTTTTTATTTTAGGGGAAAATAGCATAGTAAAATATTTTAAAAGCTACTAACAACAACAAAAAATGGTAGCAGTCATAATTCTACCTACCCCCAGATAGTCACCATTAATTCTCTGTACCTAAATACTTACAGGCCTTGAAGAATGTACAGTTTTCTCCTAGGGCCAGTAGACTTACCTCTCTATGTAAAAATCAGTGGTTTGCAATATCGTTTCCAGCTGATTCACTGCTTTTGACAAGCTGGTTTTCTGGATAAAACCGTGGTCCTTATTCAGTGGACTCACTTTTGAATGTAAGCATTGTGGTTGAGAAACCGAGGGGAAGGTTTCTCTGACCCTGGTGGATGATTAAGAGAGAGACACCATCCAAATACACAGTGGAACCTCATCCAGGTGTCCATGTTCTCAAGGGTTTTTGTAGGCTCCATAAGTCCCACGTTTTTAATGGTTTCCTGATCTCTGGGGAAGGCTGAGTTGTGAAGCTGACAGGTTTGTGTGGCTGCAAGACTTGAAGGTGTTCCATGCGCTCAGGCGCAGTGAGGGAGATGTCGTGCACAGCCGTTCAACACTGATTTGACACAGGGATAAATCATTTAAAAACATAGCTGACATATAAAATGTTTAAAGTCCAGCATTATCAATTA